CAAAAAGTACACTTCAAACCATTCAATTTTGATCTAAAATATTCTTTTTCTATCTCTCGTAGTTTTGAAGATATTCACGTCGAAAGAAAAAAACCGATTTTTTTCTAGGGGTGATTTCATCCTTTCAAAACGGAATACAACACAAACAAAAAATAGTTTCGTTCTACGGATGAACTGCTCTACTTTTACACCAAGAGTCAGATTTTTCTGAATTTTCGGGTTCGCAAACTTCCCTTGTTAGATATTTATTCTTATTTTTATTTGCTATTTTTTTATTACAGAAAAAGAAGATAAGATTTCAAATTAATGTCAAACAGAATTTTTCAAAAAATTTAGGTGAAATTCTAAGATTTTTTATAACCAAAGTAGTTGCTTTGAAGTTTACAGCAATCAAAAAAATAAAAGATAAAGAATTACTTAAGAATACGCACTTCTATAAGTTGCTAGAAGGTATAAAATAATAATTTCAATTTTTTGTCATTAATTTTTTTCTCCCTACTTATATTTGTGGAATTTTTAATTCCAGGATTATTTTTAAATGCTCCTAACAAAAACATCAACTTAAAACTTTGGGCAACTCATAGAAAAAGTTTTGAATAACGCAAAAGACTGGGAAGGATTTTGCTTTATACGGCTACAAGAGACAGAAAAAAACAAAATTCTCGAAAAAAATAAAAATTCAAAAGAAGGAAAACCAAAGAATAATGACGATAAAAATGATAGTGAAGTAACCGACAGCCAAAGTAAAGAAAATAGCAACAAAGAGTAATAAAATATAGAAATTAAAATTATTTAAAAATAAGAAGAATTTATCCTTATTGTTTGTCAATCTTGCGTTCTGTTAATTAACATGGTTATGTTATATGGATTATCACATGTGGATTTATCAGATCAAGAAAAATTTGTTTCTTTTATTTTTAATATATATTATTTTTCGTTAATTGTTTTGTGATATTCTACAACATTTAATAACAATGTTAAAATACGAAAATCAGTCTCATATAATAAAACAAAATTTTATAAACCATACTATAAAAAATCAAATTGAAATAAACAATAAACTTTAAATATATCCAATTGACAATTATTTAATAACGTAGAGCGCTCTGTCTGACAGAGCAGGCCGATTCAGACATAATTGTGTCGTATTCGTACCATGACTCCATCGTACATGGATAAAAGGATTAAAAAATAGGATTCAATGGAAATTGTATTCATTCCAATTGTTTGATTCTTTCATCTATGTACGGTTATCAAACACCCATATAAAAAATATGTACCAGTATTAGTAGCACCATCAGGAAGAATGCCTTCAAAAAATATGAACTCGATAGCTAAAAAATCAATAAATCATTATCGTCGTTATTCAGTGGCACTAATGCTTTTGCTAGTAC